TAAGAGTTTTACTGCTGCATATCTAAGTGCTGGGACACTGAGAATCAGCACAGCCATGCAAAGGCTGGATGGTCCAGTTTCCTGAAGAATTGATGGATTTAGATGTTTGGCTGTATCTTATGTTTGGCAGAAGTCCTTACTGTGGAAAATGTGCTTCGCTGTAAAGAGAACCAAAAAATATTTTGTTTGAGGGGAAAAAAATAGTTGATTCTGACTTTTAACTTTGTACTTTGGGTTGTGAAATACATGACACAAATTCTAAAATTCGGAGCTGTTTCAGAATAAGAAAAATGTTTTTTCCAGACAATGTTTGAAAGTAAAGCTAATTAAAATGTAATTAAAATTGCTTTATACAGAAAGCTGAAGCAAAAAAGTGCATCTTCAAAAAATAGCTGTGTTTATGAAACTTTAATATTTGAAAAGTAGTTCAAAAATGTTGTTCACCCCAGCTTCATTTTAGAGACTTAATTCACAAGAAGGGTACAAGAAGTTAAACTGCCTTTTGCTTTCTGAAACAAGAAGTCATGATTTTGCTTTGAAATGCATGAATTGTATCTTTGAATTGTTTGAAAGAAAGAATAGGAAATGTTTGAATAAAGTAGTTTTAACCCAAACTGCTGCCTAGAGGTATCTGTGCTGCCATTGAAATCCCTGTGTTGTGTCAAATGTAAAAATTATCATTTGACGGCAATCGGTTCTTTGAATGCTCTGTTCTCCTTTGCTGCTTGAGAATTGCTACTTTTAGGAAATTCAAGGAATTGCAGTATTGCTACGTTATCCAACTTCTCATTTCAAGGCATCAAATTGTTATTTTATCTTTGGGGCTTGTAAGAAATGCTTCTGTCATTTGTGTTTCAAACAGCACTGTTCAGGAATAGCTGCTCAAGTAACTTTTGCTTCTGCATTAAAACAAAGTTTGGGAGTGGAGTTGGGGGTAAATGGCAACTTAACCTGACTTACAGTGGCATTACTGGTGCAATCTGTTTCTTCTTTGTGTGAGTAGCTACTTTTCAGTGAATTTTCTTCAACCTTTAAACAAGACCCATGCTTTGCAATTTTAAGGAGTTGAATGCAAAGGACTTCTAAAGTTGCTGGGTGTTTCGGACTGGTAATGTACCCATCAGACTTCCCTGAAGGTGCAACCGGTTTCCAGAGTACTCTGATGTTCATAAGAATTCATCTGAAAGCACATACAATACCAAGGACACATGTATGGCCCTGGTTATTGAAAAGGGCTAATTCTTCTTTTTATTACCTTTTCCAAGGTTTACAGTGGGAATGCTTCACAACTGTGAAGTGTCTTTTGTTGGAGTTTACAACATTTTATTTTATAACTGTTTTTTTACCCTGTCCTTGTTCCCTTCCATATAAGCTTTCATCTATTATATTGCAAGCCTTTTTATTGGGGAAAAACAGTAACTTGTCTCTTTCTGCTCTCAAAAAGACAAGCTACTGTGCGGCTCCTCTGAAGAGACTTGTGATATGGTAGTTACTGGGTAAACTCAAACAAAAGGCATCTACTCATCTAACCTTTACAGTAAAATTAGGCTTATAGAAGGCAAATAGACTTCAAGTGATTAATTACTACTTAAAGTAATGAATTTTACCTGGGAATACCTGTAAATAAAGTATCTTATTCTATTATTTCATTTACGAAGTGTTGGTGTGTTATTTAAAGCAGCTTCAAAGCAAGACATGCATGTCCAAGAGTTAAAATTCACTTCTTGTTTTCATGGGAAAGAGACAGATTATTGCCCGAATATACTAGCGTATCGCTAACAAAGTAAACCTTTTTGTTAAATAATCTGCATAAATAATAAACAGCTGAACTTGCAGATAGACCAAGGAAGAGAAAAGTTGTCCTACTGGAAATTCTCTTGGCAGGTCATCTTCCATTTTCCTGCATAATTTGAAATCTCTCTTGTAGCCTTATGCTAAAGGTGGAAAGCACCAGGAGATGCTCTGTTTAAAACAGGATGAGGCATATCAGTGCTCTTGGAAGAGAAGGATGTAGCTCAGAAATGCTGAACTTGCAGATAGACCAAGGAAGAGAAAAGTTGTCCTACTGGAAATTCTCTTGGCAGGTCATCTTCCATTTTCCTGCATAATTTGAAATCTCTCTTGTAGCCTTATGCTAAAGGTGGAAAGCACCAGGAGATGCTCTGTTTAAAACAGGATGAGGCATATCAGTGCTCTTGGAAGAGAAGGATGTAGCTCAGAAATGAAATTGCATGTAAGCTCTGCATGTAACTCTGGGGCACCTCGTCGGTTTTTGTGTGCAAATATTTTAATCTAAACGCAAATCTTATGAATAGTAAAATTCAATTAATAGAATATTAATTGATACTTTTTTTTTTTAAATCCCAGAATCTCAGGTTCCTGACCAGCCAAGCTCTCTTCATGTCAGGCCCTTGACAACAAGTATCGTCATGAGTTGGACTCCGCCGCTGAACCCAAACATTGTCGTCCGCGGGTACATCATCGGCTACGGCGTCGGCAGTCCGTATGCTGAGACTGTGCGGGTGGACAGTAAACAGCGTTACTATTCCATTGAAAATTTGGGTAAGTAATTGTTTTCATTCATTTCATTTCATGAAAAGAGGTTCCTCTGAGATGATGCTATTTTTGTAGGTTTATTTTCAGGCTGTCGCTGGTGCTTCCTTTATATGTTGCTTTCTTAGGCTGTTTCTGCATTCCATTTTACATTTGCTCTTACCTTCAAAACTCTGGATACTCTCAAATATGCCAAATTTCTTTGGTCAAATACTCATTTTATTCAGTAGATCTTATTAAGTCATGTGCTCCTAATACTGACTCCCACTTGTGCAGAGAGCTGGACCTAAAGATGTTATTCCCCGGGCTGTTTGAATTTAATGGCAGTCGCAAAACTCCTATTTTGTGTCTGTCAAAATGGTGCCAGGAGAGAGGTGGTTATTCATTATTCATGGCACAGCCGCTGTGACAGTTCATCTAAATTCTGAGCATGGTACGCAGGGACCTCGATCCTTCCAGTGGTGACGGACCGTTCTCCTGGCACTGGGAAAACAGTTCAAAGTTTAAAGGAAGTCAAAAAGTTTAAAGGAAGTCAAAAGTTTAATGGTTTCCTTGTCATTTCTTCTTTAGCGCTTTTATTCCAGGTAAAAATGGTAAGTTTTCTGCTTAGTAATCTGGGAGCGATCAGACACTACAGGAAGGTTTATTAACTTGGTGCATTAGGGATGCACAGCTAGACTAGTTATCTCAATTCTGTAGGACTCTCTGATATCTGGGGACACTTTTCTTTGGAATTGGTATTTTATAGCACCATGAAACTGCATCGTCCAACCTTTTTGCTGTTTCCTTGGGGAAACCTGGAGAGTAGAATAAACTGGTTTTACTGTTACTTCATCAAACAGCTTCTCTATGTCCAGATGTATATTTCATGATGGAGGTATCTGCAAAGAGCCATGCATAAACGCTCCCAAATATTCAGTGAGTTCTACAGAAAAAGGCAGATTTGATAATGTTTTGTGCAAGTGTGAAGTTATTATGCAAAATGGAAAGATGTCTGACTGGACTATGGAAAAAATTTTGTGGAATATAAAGATAAAAGCTATTACTAATGAATGTGTGTGTCTAATAACTAATGGTCAGGATTAAATGCAAAGTATTTTTCTTAATTCCAAAAGGGATTTAAATTCTCCCGAGCCTATTTTAAGTTGTTTCATATCTTTAATGAGTTTTCAGTCGAGCCTTTCACCGCTGTTGACCCAGAAGTACTAGAAAAGAAAAATATATGGACAGCCCATGTGTTTTGGCTTTGGCAAAAGCTGAGGAGGAGATGCCTACACAGCTCAATCTTATAGAGTTCCAAATGGTCAGCTCTCACTAAAAGTGTCTTGATTAACAACTGGAGAAATGTCTTGGGTTTTGTGAAGCTTTAGTGTTTCTCTTCCTTCATGTATTAAATGACCAGTGAATATATTTGCTCATAGGACCTCTGGTAGCCACTACCATGAGGTGGAAGATATGCTAGGAACAACTTGCAGATGCAAAAGCCTTCTAACAGGGTAACTACACTTGGTGTTTGTGGAAAGCTGATGGTGTACTTCAGTTATTAGAACTGTTTCTGTGGATTAAAAGGATTCTCCTATATTCTTGGCTGTGCCGACAGGCAGAAGTACGTAGAAAGTCCAGCAAGTCAGGGAGGATGTTTCACTAATATACTTTAATTACAGAAGTAACACTCGGACATCTAGAAAATGTCAAGAAGCTGTTTTGAGCGTGTCAAATATTTAGTTACAAATAATTCTGTCACTGCAATCAGGGTTGGGTTTTTTTTGCTGAACAGCCTCCAACTTTCATGTAAGTTATTAATTATTCAAATGGAAAGTATCTTTTCATTGTACTTTTTTTGGTTTGATTGCAAATATTGAAAATGTGAGCAGTGTAACTTAATTGTCATTGTCCAGATAAGCCGCATGCATCTGGTCCCTAACTGGATAAGGATACAAGCACTTTGGTCACAAATCCTGACATGCACATTTTAAATTTGACTTCTGTGAACATTCACATGTACAACTTTGCAAATCAATTTCCATGAATAATTGCACTAATTAAATTCCATCACTTAAATATCCACAGAAAATGAACCCCAGAGGGATGTGACCAAGGGCCCAGAGAAAGCTTTTAAAAAATTAGAACAGTTGCCAACACTTCCTACATTATTCACCCACTTTATTAGAAACGATTACAAGAAAATTACACAAAATGATGAGACAGAATTCTTTTCCTAATAAAAATACTGTTTTCAATAAGGTTATGAATCAAAATGTGCTGCTGGCAGAAACGAGGGGAAAAAATATTTCCTAGATGTTATGTGGACTCATCCCACCTGTTGTAAAATTTCCTATGAGACCTCTGCACGAGCGGTATACATTATCTTAAACGTATATGCGAAAGCGACAATGAAGTGCGAGACCTAAATAAATGATGAACTTCAGTGAGTTTTCTCTCCCTGCCAAAGACCTCATCCCTTTTGATCCTCGTGGCGTTCAGCGATTGCTTCCTCGTGGCTCCCCAGCTCTCCTTTGTCTCGTTCGGCAGAGACTGCGGAGAGGTCACCCCGCTTCGCCTCAATCCCGTCTGTGATGTATGGAGCTGAAAAATCGAGTTTTTGCAGCTTCCCGAGGTTCACTGCAGTGCTGCTTTTTATTTTGCCTTTGTATGCTATTTTGAAGCACACTGCAAACCTATGTATCATTTAGATTCTAGAGCGGTAGATACTTTCATTAAAGAGCAAGCAGATTTGTTTGACATCAGCTGACTTTCAGAAATCCTGCCCGACTCTCATTTACAGTTGCTGTTTTTGCACACAGATGCCCAAACCAAATAATCCAGGGCCAGTCAGCCATTATTTTACTGCTATAAGCTCTTGTCCCGAAAGAAATGACTGTGAAGAACTCCTCTATTAAACCCTGTCCGGGTTGGATGGGATGTGAAACACCCTGACACATCATGCACGTACGTGCACGACTGATCTTTTTCCTGGGAACAATTTTCTCCTCTCTGTGTTCAGACCTGCACAAAAGCATCTCCTGGACATCTTTCCAAAGACCTTACAGTTGGGAGATTGAGAAGAGGGATGGACATGGGTGTTGAAAGTGGAAGCTAACAGCCCCCAGGCTGGCCCACCGGCTCTATTCCCTTCCCAGCATCGGCGATACGGTTGCCCTGGGAATTCCTGCCTTCGCGATCCCCCTTTGCCTGGCAGTTCCTGCCGTAGATGTGCGATAGGGTTGCCGTAGCAATTCTGGCTTGTTGGCTATGTAAGGCTGCTGTTCCTCGTGGTGATATTTGTGCGGATTTTGTTCCTCCTTCCCTAACTTGTTTGTGCAGCCACGGGACATTGTTGGCCACCTGCACGCACACCCTACGAACGTGGATGGTTGGGTACCACTGTTATACATGTCGGGAAATACAGTAATTTGTTGCAATTTGTATTTTGATGCGAAATTCTCTAATTCTAGAATCTAATCCTAAATTACTTCCTAATATCACAAAGTGACATTGAGGCAGAGTCAGAAGCAAAACGTAGCCCATGCTTTAAGCTCAGGAATGCTCAACTCTGCAGCCAGGTTGTAGAGAAGATGGTAGCTTTACTTGTGGTCGTGGTATGTCAGTGTCGGGTAGTAAAACCTTGGTGATAGGACAGAACTAATGATAAACTCTCTGACCTACACTTTAGAATGTTTACTTATTTTACTCAACTTCGGATGTTTAACTGAGTCACCTGAGTTTGAGCCATATCAGCCCATGTTCCTTCTCTAGTCCATCAAGCAGGAAAAGACAACAGCAAGGATAGTTCAGCCCATTCAACAGCTCCATCATCTGATTTTTCCTCCCTGTTGACCATGGTGGACGTCCGTGATGGTAACTTAGCCATGGTGTGCATTGTTACGCATCAGGATTCGCCGTTCTAGAGCTGATTATGAAATTCCAAACATCTTCGCACCTTCAGTCTGCTGCTAATGATCGACTGAAAATGCTTTCTGTGTAGTACTTACTGGTTTTGGATGGGAGTCAGATATTGAAGTCTCTTTAGAAATCCTACTAGACACTTCACTGCACCTTTGTAATCCTACATACTTTTAAAACTCTGCTTGAAAGTACAAGGCTTGGAAGCGATGGACGATCTCCTTAAGTAGATCACCCACAGGGGAAGGATGGAGACCTGCAGAGCGGCCAGCTTTTTAATTCCTTCCCTCTTGATAATGCAAGCGTAACACCAATACGCACAAGTCGTATGGCAGCTTTGCATCACATTTCAGGTACTTATTCGATGACTTCCTTCAAGAAAAACGTTTTAAATGCCTGAATCGGCCTGTACCCGAGCTGTTACAGCACTTGTTGAGTAGTGCACTGCAGCTACTACTACACTTCAAAAACATGAAGAAAAGTATTCAGTCTTTCATAATAGTGCTTGAGAACTTTATTCTGCGTGATGATCATCTTGAATACAACTATATAGAGGTAACATTTGTACTCTAGAATGAATTAAATAGAGTGATTTTCTCATGACTGAGTGGTCCTATTGCCTTGGAGACACTCTCCACAGGTGCAGAAGAATATAAGAATATCCAGAGACTTCAGCTTTGTCAGTGAAGAATTTGTTGTATTTTCTTTCTGCAGTGTATGAAAGATATTTGATGTCAGTCTCATAAATTTCAGGAGCGAGCATCCCTTGCTCTCATTCAGCCTTTTCTGTGACAGCGAAATCAGTGCTTGACTGACTCTCCAATGAATAATTCTAACAAGGAAACCCACTTCTAGTGAGCCACTTCATTTTCTTTTTTCTTTTTTTAATATTTTTTAATTCTTTGCTTGTGATTACAAATGGCAAGGTTATTGGCTGATTAATGGTGGTTTTAACAATACTGGAAAATTCACAGATGCCAATTCTGATCTTTTACGCATAAGAAGTAACGATTTCTGTACTGATCCAACTCAGAAGGCTTTAAGCATAGTAATGAACTGACTGGGCTCGTCTCCATGGAGCTTTGTATTAAAGCTTACTCATGAAA